TAGGCTTCATAAGGTAAAGAAAAACGTTTAAAATCTCGGCGTAGAATTCGGTAACACAAGTCGTATCGGTCACGTTCAAGAGAAAGACGGAGCGGTGCCGATCGTGAGTCAAGAGCAGCGGCGGTAAGTAAGTAAACATTTTGAATAATTTAGGTTTTTATCGATTTGGTTGGGTAATTATGATTCAAAATTATGTTTGTGATGACAGACATGTTTCTGTTTGTGATGACAGATATTTTTCTGTTTGTGATGATAGATTTGTACTGTGTGTGATGGCAGTTATCTACTTTCTGTCTGTGATGACGAAAGTTTCTAGGAAAATTAAAATGTTTGTTTGTGACAACCGATATTTTAATTGATATATTTTACTATTTTGTCATATGTGTGTCCTAAAAATTTGTTACTTGCCATTCTGGAGATAAGTATTACATTTTTTTGTCTCTTTCTTGTCTGGACGAAAACGTCATTCAGATAGCTAATTAAGTTCATGAAGAGACAATTGTGGGTACTCAGGTTTTAGAAAAGGAAATTTTATCAATTCTTGGGGATGATAAAACAGTTAAAGAGTCAGTGGGGAATCCAATACATCCCAATGTGATATTCCGGTGGACAAATATATTAACATCTGGTTTAGATCAAGAGTCGCGTGAAGAATTGACAGCTAAATATTTAACGCCAGAAAACTGCCTATATTTAAACCCTCCCAGTATAAACCCAGGTGTTAAAGTGGCTATATCTGAGTAAGTGTCTAGAAGAGATGCTCGACTATCATTATTATAGCAGCAACTTGGGGCTAGTTTATCTGCTATAGATGTAACTTTAACAGGCATACTAAAGGAGGAGGGGAGAGACAATAAAAACTATATTCAACTACTCAGTGATACAGGAAGACTATTGTTAAATATCTTCCACTCGGAATCTCTGTCCCGAAGGGATTTAATTGCTGTCAATCTAAACAAAGACATTGAAACAATATAATTCGGGTTTAAGACTGTGGTGGGAGTTTTGTGTCAAGGAAAGTATCAATCCATTTAAAATTACAGCTCCAAATGTCTTCGAATTCTTATCTTTACAATTGAGAAATGATGCAATCCATGGTACACATAATATATATAGATCGGCTATAGCTCAAATAGCGGGTCCTGAGCTAGGACAAGATTTTAGGTTAAAGATATTTTTTTAAGAAGTTTTTGGGTTAAGGCGACCGTTACCACGGTACGAGAATACTTGAGATCCCAGAATAGTGATAAACTATGTAAGAACTCTTGATAATAACACAATTTCTTTAGAACTACTTACACAAAAGTTGGCCAGCCTAATAGCTCTTGCAACCGGACAACGAATCCAAACGTTGCGTTGTCTAATTGAAATTAATAATATATTGGTTCGAGATGATAAAATTGAAATTAAAATTTCTCAAAGAATTAAGACGTCATGTATTAATAAAAGCCAACCATTTCTTGTCACACCCTTCCTTAATTCAGATACCAATGTATGTGTAGCAAAAAAACTTTTAGAATAACTTCAAAAAACAAAAGAGGCTCCTGTAAGTTTTTATTTATCACTTATAAAAAACCTTTTCATAAAGCCACTTCTCAAAACATTGGTAGTTGAACAAAAAATATTTTAAATACCAGTGGTGTTAACACAAATCAATTTAAAGCACAAAGCATACGCCATGCTTCAACATCAGCAGCGGCAAGAAAAGGTGTATGCTTTGACACTGTAAGACTAGCATCAGGATGGACTGAGAATTCTAAGACATTTGCAAAATTCTACAACAGACCTTTAGATTAGATTAGATTTAATTGGAAATGTGGGCCATGTGGCCTCCTCCACCTCGACCCTTTCAGATCTATTATGAATATCCTTCAATCGTTATTTAGGGTACCTTGTCTTATTCGGTATTTTGTAGTAGACTCCATAGAGTGGGAAGTAGTTTTTCGGTATAGCTAGTTGCCCTTGGTTTTTCTTCTCCAAGTGTAAGGAATCTCAGTCTTGCTAGACCTTTGCAGTAGCACAATACATGCACTGCCGTTTCCTCCTCTTCCTGACAGAATCGGCGCAAGGTCTCTTCTGTCAGACCGATAATATACATATGTTTGTTAAACCTACAATGCCCTGTTAATAGACCTACTAGTACTCTAGTATTTTGCTGTTAAGGCTTAGTAGATACTCGGTGAGTTTAGGCGATGGTCCTTTTAAGAACTCTTTGGCCTGTCTCTGTCCTGGGCCTTTATTCTTGAATTTTGGGGAGTAGAAATAGTGAGATAAAGTGACGTAAAAGTAGGCGTGGCTCCCTAAAACTAAAAATACTGTATTCTTGAAAAACATTCTCTCAGAAGTTGATAGAAATGTTTCTCCCTAAGTGAGTTTAAATTTCTACTGGTCTCAAGTAAGAGAAAATTAATATGGGAGTAAAAAATGTGTGTAGAATCCGGAATAGCGAGAAATAGTCGCCGCCCTGGTGGAAAAAACTGAACTAGTCTAAGACAGATAAAATTGTAAACAATCGTCGATTGTGTTTTTGTGCCTTTTTCTGTGTTTTTAAGATATTGCGAGATTTTATAAACAACAACAACCCATCAATTAATAGCATTAACGAGAAACATACAATTGTTATCTGTCTTAGAGCCGCCATATTGGCAATTTTTAGCGCCACCTATAGTCGCTCGCGCTTCCCAATGGTACAAAATAAAAAAAATAACAAAAACCTAACCTAAAAAAAAAGTGGAACCGAGAACCGAGAATGTTTATTATTTAGTTTAGTGTATAGATATTTAAATATAATGGAAATAAATAATATATGGCTATGAAATATGCATGACGATGTGTTGGAAGCTATGGAGAATTTTGAAATTGGTCGGGATGTCCTAAATCGGACAAATCCATTTTTATTATCGGATAGAAAATTTAGACAAATATTTAAGCTATCCAAGGATATGGTAACCGAAGTGGTAAAAATGGTGGCGTCATTTATGGTGCCTCAGTTCAGAGCATCAGCCCTTTCTGTAACCACAAGGGTAAGTAAACAAACAGATCAGACATTTTTGGTCTACACAAAATTATTGGATAAGTAGGTACTCAAAAGAGACTTACGTTTATGAAATAACCATGGAATATAATCACTAGTATCCAAAAATATAATATATTTAATTTTTATTTTAGGTTTTAGCTGCATTAAGGTGGAAGCCATCAAGAAATAACTGGCACAAACCACTATGTATCAATCAGCCAACCGTCAACAAGCAAAGCAATAGTGGAAGTTACAAATGCTTTGAACAGGCCCAAAATTTTAAATCAAAAAGTGCAGTATCCAAGAACGCAACTAGAAAGGGAAACCCTTCGTACACAGTAATTATAAAAGAAAAGTTTTTCAATTTTGTTTAAGATTAAATCATTTTTGTTTTTTATCAGGTTCTATGATTTGTATGGATTTTCGGGAACTTTGTCAGTCATTGATTGCACACATTTTGCGATTGTGGCACCAAAGGCAAATGATCCCAATTATCCAGAACATATATATGTCAATAGAAAAAATTACCACTCCCTAAATGTACAATTGGTAAATATAATAAATAATAACATATATACCTAAATAAACACTTACTTTTATCACATTTAAAAGAAAATTGATGAGAATATTTCGGAGTCAGAATAAAAAATAAAACAAATTGGAACTTTCCAGGGGATGTTTAACATTTTTATCTGTTTATAAACTTTTGTACTACCTTTTAGATATGTGATCATAATTTAAAAATAGTAAATGTGAATGCAAAATTTCCCGGGTCGACACATGATGCGTTTATATGGACACAATCCCCTGTCTCAATGTACATGGAGCAGTGTTATAGAAGAAATCCTGCTAATGTGTTTTTTTGATGGGAGATTCAGGTAAAGTAATAAAAATTATGTGATATCTTTGTTAGATTCGTAGCCGCATACGGACCCTCAGTTCAGTAAACTATTTACAGATTTTTGTTAGAGTTCAGTTGAGTGTTGTTAATTATTTTATTATTTTCATGTACAGAACTGTTATTTTTATTTAATTATTTCCTAATAAATTAAACAATACATTTTTTTATCATAAGTGCTTCAAATCAAATATACACCTCTTATAATTTTTTTGTTTTAGGATATCCCACACGTCCGTGGCTTTTAACACCATTGCCAAATCCAGTGAATCCAGGCGAACAATTTTATAATTACAGGCTGTTTTCTATCAGATCCTTAATAGAAAGATGTAATAGAAGTACTCAAAAATCGATTCCGCTAACTATTAAGATATAGAACACTGCATTACCACCTCACGTTCGCTGGAAAAATCGTTAATGCTTGTTCAATTTTACACATGTGTATAGAGAACAATATACCTGTTCCAGACGAACCCCATCCTATAGAGCCAGATTATGGCATGTATGCTGATAATAATGTTGTCAATATTTGACCAACAGGCAATCCAGATCTGGCAGCTGCCAGACGATTGCAACAAAACGTTATATTAAACCATTTCATTAATTAATTATTGATTATTAAACGAATGTACACTATATGTAATAAAAAACAATATTTTATTTTTTGTGTATTTTATTCACAAATACGAACAAACTTACAATTCTACATAACAAAGTAAAAAATACTAATCAAATGAAAAAAGTAACAAAACAAACTGAACAAAAACTTAAAACGAACAAAAAAACATAACAAATGTACCTAATTTAAAGAAAATCTATCATTCTCTATCTCTAAAAAAGTAACAAAACAAACGGAATAAAAATTGAAACGGAAAAAAAAAAAAACATAACGAATATACCTATTTTTAAAAAAACTATAATTCTCTCTCTATGTAGAAAATTGGAAATATCCTCAATTATTTGTGTTGCCTCTTCATCTCATCCCGCTGTTCTTTTAAAATGTTAAGCTTTTCAAACCTATATGTTTTTGTTTCATTTACAGCCTCTTGTGAAAGCTTAAGCATTTTGCTGTGAACTTTTATTGATTCATTTAACCTTAGGAATTACATTTTGTGTGGAGGTGGAAGGGGTTTGGGGGGCTTGTACAGAAGGTGTCACATCCATGTAAGCATTGTCAAGCTGTAAAATAAGATATTTAGTATCTTTTTAGCCTAACCAAGCAAAATCAGAAATTTCATGACATACCTCTATATATCGTACAGATTCTGTTTCTACATTCGGACTGGGAAGTATCTCCTCAAATATTACTTCATCGTCTAGAATAATACTTGGCTCGGGTACCTCCTTATTACCTGTAACACACGCCGGACTTGTAAGCTCTATGTCTTTCAACTCAAAAGTATCCGTAGTAACTGGTTCAGGAGGCCCTCCTCCTGTACCTCTTTGGTGTTTTTTAGCCAATTTCGATTTACAATTTTTTTTATGTCGATCCAAGTCTATAACATAAAAAAACAAATGTTGATGAAGTTTGTGAAGCAGTTTTGGAATAAATTTTACAACTTATCTTTCGCCAAGCACTCCATTCTTTTTTAGCCCCATTGGGATGAGCGTTCAGAATAACCACCAACTCTTGCCCAACGCCCTCGATTGCGAATGTGTAAAATCCGGTGAAAATTTTCCGGCATATAATTTCGGTCTTGCTTTTATAAAGTATACTATAATATCTTTTTCTTCGCGTGTAATATGTGTTGACATTCTTGTTTTATGTATCTACTAAATCACAAAGTATATCACAAAGATAAATCACATCAACTTGCTAAAAATTTTGGAAAAAAATTGTATAAAATGTTTGGTTATTGAAACTTCTCTTTTTTCTCATAGATTAATTATTTGTGGACACCGTACCGTTAGGTCTTAGGTTAGGCATTAAAAAGCTGTAAATTTTCTGTATTTGTGATTGGTGAGAATTTTTCACTGAATTCCGGCAACCCTGTATGCGTTTTATCTTACTCTTTTCTACTCCCTAGCTTCAAGAATTCAGCATTTTAAAATCGAGAAAAATTTTGAAGGAGTAGAAATATCAGGGAGCTCCCCGGAGAGTAAAATTTTCTCTCGATTCAAGAATAAAGGCCCTAAAGAGTTTTACCACCACTTCTGAGATTTTTTAAATATCCACTGCTTTGTGCATGTTCTGATAGTTGTTTTTGTTACACCACAGAAGGGTTCTGGGCCATTAAGAGCATTTGAGGCTCCTTCTGGGGCTAGTAAATCAGCCTCTTCTTTGCCCTTGTGTCCTCTGTGGCCTGGTACCCAAGCAAAGGTTAGTCTGTTTTGACTACCCCGCTTTGTTAAAGCTTCAAAACAGTACCACACAAGCTTTGAGTGTACCTGCATGGAACTGAGTGCCTTTAACGTCGCTTGACTGTCTGAGTATATGACAATGGTTTTTCCATTTACCTTCTGTCTTAATATCTCTTTTGCGCAGTGATGTATTGCTGCTATTTCTGCCTGGAATACTGTCGCATGTTTACCTAAGCTCAGTGAGATTCTTGTCAATGGCTCCTAAACTCCTAAACCTTCATGGGTTTTGGAGCCGTCTGTATACCAGGTGAATTGTGCATGAATAGGAGGACCTCCCGTTCACGCTTCCTCTCTAGTATACTTACTTGATATTGATTTTGAAAGCTATACTTTGGGAGCATTTTATCTGAAGGCATTCCCATTATTTGGTCGTTCTCCAACTCTTTATATAGCTCGCTGTAGTCACGTCCATGCAAACTGCTTATGGGTAATGAACCTTTGTGCGATCTGCATGTGACAGACCTGGCTTCGCCTTGAATGAATATATATAGTGGTGTTAGGTTTAGCATGACTTCTACAGCTGCTGTTGGAGTCGTTCTCATAGCTCCCGTGGTACTCAGGCACAACAGACCCTTATATGTAATAAACAGTTTGCAAACTCTATATTTATAGTTATAGATTATATTTAAAAATGTATCTCACAATTTAATATTTAGAAGATAAGTTATAATAATTTAGAGACAAATAAAAACATGGTTATTTTTAATTTTAAGGGAAAAAATTAATAAATAAAAAAAATTGTTCAAGTTTTGTTGTTGCATACATGCATTTAATTATAATAATGTTCTCCATAATAAACATATAATAAAAACATGGTTGTTGCAATTACTTTAAACATCTACACAATTTATTTAGGAGACGAGACTGAATATAATCATAAGATCAAACGAACTGACCTTAAGTGATGTTCGATCTTGATTATATGAAAGTCTTGTCGAACTTAAAGTCCCAACCTACCCATATCATTTTGTGAGATAAACCCTTTTAACATTGCAACAACAACTTTGAAGCTTTGAAGTTTGTGGATATTTTGGTCAGAGGCGTAGGAACAACTCAATTTATTTAGTTCGACGAGACCTTCATATAATCAAGGTCGAACATCACTTAAGGTAAGTTCGTTTGATCTTATGATAATACTAATACTTATTTATTCATACTAAAAAAAATATTAAAATAATGTTTTAAACTGAATGAAAAAATTAAAAAATATTTAAAAAGTGTTGATAGAGTAATCACTGTAAAAAATGGTAATAAAATAGACACTAGACACTGAAATACAAACATCTAAAAAACTCATAATTGGAGTTGAGTGAAATTGGATTAATACTTTAGCCTCCTCCACAGAATGGCTTTAATTTCAGGCGTTTTCTGATATTTATCGATACTATCCAACATTTATGAACGCTTTTCTTTTATCCATCAAAAATTTTCAGATGAGTTATACATCATATTTTTATATTCAACTTAATTTTCAAATGATTATACCAAATCCATCGACTCGATGGTGTTGATTAACTGATGGATCACGTAACAACTTTAAATTAATTATTATTATTATTAGACAAGGAAATAGAAAAATTTCGCTCAAAATTCTCAATAATATGAATGAAGAACTTCGAATAATATTGTCGACCTTAGATAAATAGCAATTAAATGAAGGCCAAATAAATATGTTTTCAAGTGTATTAACCCATACTTGTCTTTAATTTTTATGCTTTTTAAAAAAATTGTTTGTTTTCATTAAATAAAGACAGTTTGACAGTTAAGATTTCAAAATATCAAATGTCAGTCGCGAGCTTACCATCACGTAACCATGTAACTTAGTTAGCGGTAACCATATTCGCATGATGACTTTCAAGTGACTATGACGTTATAGTTAACTACGGTTAGCGGTTTCAGATAACCAACTCTTAGAAGGTAGTTAAGAAAATATTACTAGGGCTGTCTGTCATTTAAGATTTTTTATGAGTTACGACGTGGCATCACATTCTTGCCGAGGAGGCGGTATTCGTAATAACACATTTCATGCTTACGCATGCGCAGATGAAACTACGAGAATATAATGTATTATGTGAAACTTGCCATTTCAATTTGAACTGTGTCCAGGCCGTTGGAGTCTATGCCGTTTGGCGTAGCCGGGTATGGGTTGATACCTTACGATAAGCCGTTGCTTCGTCTTCTTGTTGTATATTCACGGGCTGGCATACGCATGAGAATGGAATATGTTACTATGAATACCGTTTTGTCTCTTTAAAAATAAAATTGAAATTTGAATCACTCACAAAGGATCTATACCGATTAATGTAATAACAAATAATGAAATGGAACACTAATTTTGGCGAATTTTAAAAAATTATTAACAATACATTAAGGGCTCAAATTTAGGGATTATATTAAAAATGGTGCTGTTGAGGAATACATTTATTTTCATTTTATTTCAAAATTTAAAGCCCTTTGATTTTTTCTCGGAAACTGGATGGAATTAAAACTTTAAAATATATGCATGTTCTAGATATTATTGCCTAATTTATTTTGCTAAAATTTTAATTTTTTAACAAAATTACTTTTTGAAATAACTTTGTCCAAAAGGTATAAGGGTTGCTGTATTCACCTTAAATACGGGTGAGTTTGTGACTTATTTTGAACTTCTTTTACACTTGTTTACCTATTTATGTACATAATATTTCGAAGATATTTTTGTAGATGATGACTATTTAATGAACTACATTATTGAAGGCAGTAATAACAAAAACATAATATATGCATTTACCCACCTTGAGTTATTCAGAACCTTTAATAAAATTATAAAAGACAAGTTTATAATATGAGAAAGTAAAGGGAAGAATTCTGAAGAAGATAAACAAGCTGTAGAAATTCTTCTCGTAGAACCGTTAAGATTCACTGATAAATTTGACGACAAAAATAAAAATACAATTGTGAAAAGAAATTGCTCCAGAATTAAAAAAATAAGTTAAATGTAGCAGGCGAACAATGCAGGAAAAATTGAACAATATACAAAAAAAACTATATAAATTGTGTGCGACAAATAAATTTAACAAGTAGTGGAAACAGATCCACCAGAAAATTGCGATGTAATTCATGCAATACTGGGTGGGAAAGATAAAATCTTGCCGATTTATACTCGGCTTCCTATGAGCAAGAGTTAGAAACTTATGTTTCAAGCTTGCTTATAAGTATTAGAAACCCCTTTAAACTCGCAAAGTTCTAAGAATATACCAAAAAGTAATCTTCAAAACCTGAAAACAAATAAATCAGCTAATATAGAAGACAAACAAGAAAACAAGATGAATAATGAAAGTAGTTGAAAATCAAAGTATACGAATAGAATGGTTTTAAAAAGTTGATAGATTTAGATGAAACAAGAAAATATAGGAAGACCAGGTATTAGTCTAATTTAAAATTATTTAGAATAATTTAAAAAATGTGTTTGTTAACTTTGGAAAAAGAATAGTTCAATAAAGTTATTTTTATGTAATGTTATATTTTTCTTATACATTTATGGGTCATATTTAAAAAAAGAATAAAAAAATTGATTATAATTTAAAACTTATTTTTGTTTCATAACACACTATTTAAGATGTATTTATTGACATGTGGTCACACACTTTCAGCATTCGATTTTATTTTTTTTTAAGACTTTCGAAAATCTAAAATCACGGAGGTGACAAAATATTCACAGAAGTGAGAAATTTTTACTTTCTGTACAAATTTTATCTAAAATGAGCATACTTTTTGATTAGTAACAAATAATAACTACAATGATTACAATGATTAAAAGTAAAACCTATTTATTTTTAAAATTCATATTTCAATCAGACGTGAACATTTGGGAACATTATAAATCAGATAATTAAAAATGCTTATTAAAAAAAAACTAAATTCACAGTAATAATACGCAAAAAATAGGAATACAAAATTCGACTCTGTTGAAGAAACTATACAAAAAAACATTCTCATGTAGAAAAAAAATAACATTGCTTTAAAATATTACAAAATAATTAATTTAGGTTATTGAACAATGATAAATCTGCATCAAAAATGTAATATCCACAATGACTAACAGTAGGTGGAGCACATGACTTTTTTCAGCAAAATTTTACGACAACGTAGTTATTTTCATTGCAGTCAGTTATACTAGGGCAACTATTATTATCATTAAACCCAACAGGGTCTGACTGTCGGGGAAAAATGTTCTGAAGCTCTGAAAGAACGGATAATGAATCTTCTGGAACAATGTTCTGATCAGAACTACTCTGCAAAGATATTTCCAGGAAAAACTATGATCATCCTCAGTAACTAAAAACCCATTATTATTATTATTATTATTATTATTATCTTGAAGACGTAAAGCTTATGTCGTATTTTCGTCTTCATTGGAAGAACTTGAATATACATCTGCTTTTTGGAGACGTATTTCTATCTTCATCAGAAGAACTGGAATCAACATCTGCATGGTGAAGTCTTTTTTTGGTGGTTCTCCTGCGAACAATCAGTTAAGGAAATAACTATCAGAAATAAGTAATAAGTAAATATGCAACTTAAAAAAGCACAAAAAACAGGCTAAAAGGATACTTTTTTGCAACAAGTTGTAGCTGCCCAAGGAATGGAAGCAGAACATTTGAGACAGATGAGCTTCCGAATATTTAAAGATGCACTATTTTGTTTAGCCCAGCGTACTTCGTGATACTGTAAAATTTCTTTATAATTCGGTAACTTTTCTGGCAATTTCGTCTCTATTTTTGCAACTCTGAATTGTCTAACTGGACTTCAAATAGTTTAGTGCCTTTACAGATACACACTAAATAATACAAAAAATACTTTATATCTGGTAGATCAGTCCCTCTAGCCATAATAGCTGTTGTAACCTTTAAGACTCCTCCAACTTCATCTGGTGCGCTTTTACGTGCCCCTTTTTGCTATAGTGCCAGCGCAACTCTTCGACTTGCAACTCTTGGGAAATGAAGTTAACCATCCAGTTTGTTTTATAGTTTTCCTACAAATTTCTTTTCTTTTTATTACAGCTTGCTTGTTTGGGGTTCTATGACTGCGGATTTTACATCCATTCGCCTATCTTTATCGTTTTTAGTCCTTATTTTGATTTTACAATGTTTTATTTTTGTGTAATTCCTACTAACTAACATTTGTAATATAAGTAAATTATATTTTTTTCCAATTTTTTTTAAATCATATTTTTTTAATTCCCTTTTTTTTTGTTTGATTTTTTTTTTTCCTTTTTTTTTGTTTTTTTTTCCTTTTTTTTTGTTTTTTTTTTCTGTTTTTTTTTTTTGTTTTTTTCTGTTTTTTTTTTTGTTTTTTTTTTTTTGTTTTTTTTTTCTTCCCAGAGGAAACATAAACAGGGACACATTTTACGCCTAACGGTCTTTCTAGACGATTTGTACAATAACATGGACGACCACGGTAAGTTTGAAGGGTTTGAACAAAGGTAAAATACAAAGGATTTATTTTACATTTACAATTTAACATTAATATTTAACAAATGCGCGAACAACAGTTGGTATAGATCGGAATTATCGTTAATTGAAATTAAATAGCTTAAATTAATAGGTTGATGGATGCCTGGAATTTTTAACAATTTATCTAAAAATACATTTATTTCGTTTGTAAAATTTATACAGCCTAGAATTATATGTTGTGTATCGCCAAACTCCCCACAGGAACAATTTGGGTTATCGTTCATATTAATTTTGTTCAAATGAGACGGTACAAGGGAATGGTTAAATCTTAATCTACATATAGATTTTACCATTGCTAATAATTCTGCCGTATATATGCTCATCGATGAATTTAGTTTAAACATTTTGCTGTAGTTAGCATTTTCGTCGTAGATTGCACAACCAACGGATTCACTGCTTTTAGAGGCATCTGTAAAAATATAATAATAATTTTTAAATAAGTTGTTAACGTCAGATTTAAAAAGACTGTTTCTTATAATGTTTGGAAAATTTGTATAGTTTCTTAGGTAGTAAGTTTTAATTTTGTCTATTTTGTTAAAATCTATTTCGTATATTTTATTTGTTTCTGTCTTGTAAAGGGAGTTTTCATATTCCTGTAGATTTTCATAGCATTTAGCTAAGCATGGAGTTTTCTTCTTTATCCAATATTTGTTACATAAATCTGCTATGAATAATTCGTGTATCTTTGAAATAAGAGTGGATTTTTTTGCATCAATTGTTATTAAAAATCGGCTTGCTAAAATGTTTCTTCTAATGTTCATTGGATATTCACAGCATTCTACCTGTAGATTGTTAATGGGAGTACTTCTTAAGGCTCCAATCGATAGCCTAAGACATTTGTTAGCCACTACATCTATTTTATTAAGATGACACTGAGCAGCATCTGCATATAGAATGGAACCATAATCTATAATTGCTCTGATATATGATCTATACAGTAATAGTGATATGTTTGGGTCCGCTCCCCATTGTGAATGAGAAACAAACCTCAATAGGTTTACTCCCTTTTCCGCCTTTTTTACAATGTTTTCTATGTGTTCTTTCCAAAGTAATTTTTTGTCCAAAGTAATCCCCAGGTATTTAATAGAATTTCGAACAGGGAATTGCACTTCATTAAGGGTAATATGTAGCGGAACATGTTTGCGTTTTCTTGTAAAAAAGCAAACCTGCGATTTGGAATTCGAAACTGTTAGTCCATGATTAGATGTCCATTCCAGAATTTGTTTGTAACTTCGCTCAACTTCATTTACGCCTTCCATTATTTCACAATTGTGTCGATAGATGCAAATATCATCTGCAAATTGGATGATCTTGACATTGTTTTGTTCTTTGTCCAAATCATAAGTATATATTAAATATAATAACGGACTGAGAATTCCACCTTGAGGTAATCCATCCATAGCGACTCGTGGGCCTATTTGGTTATTATTAATTGCTAAGTATAAATTTCTACCGCTATATAATTTGGTAATCTTCTGTGCAAAACATTCAGGCAGACCTAATTGAAGCATCTTTGTTTGTAGTATTCTTAAGTTAACATTATCATAAGCTGACTCTATGTCGATAAATAGGGCTACCACAGACTTATTATTTGTAAATGATAGGTTAATGTCGGTTACCAAATGACTAACACTTTCTATTGTAGAACAGTTTTTTCTAAACCCTAATTGAGTGGGTGTGATTTTTTGATTAATTTCTAACCATCTTTCTAATCTTACTTTCACCATTCTTTGTAACGTTTTGCATATACATGAGCTTAAAGATATGCCTCTATATGATTCTGGTGAGTTAGGATTGCGATTTGGTTTTAAAAATGGAATAACTAAATACTCTTTCCAACCCGTAGGTATATCCTCAGTTAACCATATCTGATTTAAATTATTTAATAACGTCTCTTTCCCCGATTTTTCCAAATTAGCCAACATAATATAATGTACGCTGTCCAGTCCTGGAGATGTATTTTTGTTATTTTTCAAACAAGCTTCTAACTCCAACATATTAAATTGTCTTGATAGTGTGTCATCTGAATTTTTACTTTCTGCTATTGTAATTTGTGGAAAGGTACTCGGTGGTGCTAATTTTCTTAAAAACGAATCCACCCATTCGCCTTCCATAATCGGGGAGATAGGCGGTTTAAAAATATTTTTAAATCGTTTAACATGATTCCAAATATCTGCTATGGGGGTATTTTTGTTTAGGGATTTACAAAATTCTCTCCATTTTTTTCTTTTGTTATGGAGATTTATTTTTTTTTGTTAAAGCTACACATTTATTGTAATTTATATAATTCTGAACATTTGATTGTTGCTTAAACTTTTTTAAAGCGTCTTTTTGGTCTTGTATTGCCTGTTTACATTCATCATTCCACCAGGGTTTATTAAATTTAGGATTTGTCCCTTTTCTCTTCTCTGGAATGCTCATTTTGCAATAATAATTAAATTCCTCTAAAAAATCTTCATATCTCATATTGTTATCATGTTTTGAAAAAGTATTCGTTACAGATGAGAATAGAGACCAATCTGCTAAATTTATATTCCATCTTTTCCTATTCACATTTAGGTTACTATTAACACTACTACTATTTACATTATTTCTATTTTGATTATGATTTATACTATTATATGTTTTTATTACAATCGCAAAATAATTTGATCCTAAGGTATCTGTAACAACGTCCCAATCAAAATAAGGACTAATATCATTCGAGCATATAGTAAGGTCTATTGCTGATTTGTTATTGCTTCCCGGTCTACTCAATTATGTCTCTTTACCGTTATTTAAAATTATTAAGTTGCAATCTTCAATAGCTGTCAGTAAATGTCTACCACCTGTATCCACAGTACTACAACCCCAAACAGAATTGTGACAATTAAAGTCTCCACCAACAAGAAAGGGCGTTTTTAGGGAATTAAAAAAATGTTTCCATTCATTTGTGGTTATTTTTAAGCCTGGTTTATTATAAATAGAATATATATTTACCTTTTTTCCTAATTTTAATTTTATTGTTAAACTTATGCACATTAAATCGTTGATTTTATAAAATAAGGGACTGTTATCAAATGGTATAGATTTTTTTATTAATATGGCTACACCTCCATAGCTGGCGTCCCTGTCTTCTCTAAAATATTATATCCTGTAAAATTAATAAATACGCGTTCGTTGAGCCACGTTTCTGAAATTAATCCTATGCCTATATTGTTTTCAGAAAGAAATCTTTCTAAATAACCTTTGTTTGATCTAATTGATCTAGCATTCCATTGTAATACTGATTTGTTATGATTATCCATTGAGATCTAATATTTGGGAAATATTATTTTTTAATAATTCTAATGTTTGTGAATCAAGTAAATGGTTTGCTTGACTTAAAATAGTAATTATAAAGCTTATGATTAATTGGCACATATTGCTTTCTTTTTTTTTGTGATGTGTTAACATTTAAATTGTGATATTGTGGTGTGTTACGTATAATTGGTTGTGACTGTATTTTTGGAATTTCTAATATTTGTTTATGCGCCTCTTTTATGGCACTATCGCTATTGGTGGTATCTATACTACCAGTCCTTTTTCTCTTGGTAATTGTATAACGATTGGAAGTTGATTGATTAATTTTGCTGGCAGTAGAGTAAAATTTTGTATATTTTTTATTTGCTTCGAAATATGTTATATTTTCGGTGTTCATAATATTTTTAATGCTTTTTTGTTTCTCAAATTCGGAGCAAGATGCAGCTCTATCAGTAGCACTGTGATTTCCATTACACAACACACATGTTTTGTTAGTTTCTTCACATGTTACTTTATTATGTTCGCCTCCGCATTTTTCGCACCTTTCTTTTCCCCTACACTGAGAACTTACATGACCAAACCTCAAACATTTTAAACACTGCACTAATCTAGGAATATAATGTTCTACATCGTATACTAGTCTTTCGATTACCACTTGTGAAGGAATATTTTGGCCCTTAAATGTAACGACTATTGTTCCGGTTTTTGCATATGAAGTGGTTCCGTTTTCTGTTACTTTACGATTAATTCTTTTAACATGCAATATTTCAAAATGTATTCCGAATCTGGGTTGGATTAAAGATATTAAATCATTTTCTTCAATATCTTTATCGACCAATTTTATTACACCTTTTTTTTGTAAGAAGAAATTTGGAATATATGCCTCATAATTTTTAATTTTTAATTTTTCAGACTGTAATAATTTATTAGCAGATTCATGTGAATTCAACTCTACCTTTACTTTATTTCTCCCTATAACAGATATTTGTAAAATGTTATTCTCTATTTCTGGTACCGCACCTAAAATTAATCGGGCCGTTCCAATCCTGTGTAGTTTACCTATATTACCGTTTTTATTTTCTATATGTACGATGTACGGTGAACTATCGCTAAATGTATATCGGTTTTTACTTCTTAAATTGATATAATTATTTAAGTTTGATTTATTTACTTCTTTTTCATCATTTAATTTTCCTGTTTTAATATTATCACTAATTTCACTTACCTTTTTTGTCGGTGTTTGATCGTTGTTTTTATTATCTACCTGTATATTTTCTGTTTTATTATTTTCAAATTCTTCAAATTCCATGACTCCGTTATTTCCTAAATCAATGTAAAATTTTCCCCTATCTGGTGGTTCTGGAGGAATACCATTATCTTTGTCCGAATTGGACATCTTCAACGCGAATTTGCTATATATAGACCACTCGTTTAACACTACCGCACTCGATAAGCGTTTCGATCAGACTGTGTTATTACAGCTATAACCGGCTTTGTAAACCATTTCTCATTTGTGATCGTATCAGCTGGATTAAAAGTACTTGTTCCTATGGTTTTGTTCTTACAATTTTTGCACTTTCTCTCTAAGCATTGTTCTTGTAAAGCATCCCCTTCAGTTACTATACAAAAAATGCTTTTGCACAATTTCTCTAACTCATTTGTTGCTTTTAATTTCTTTATTAGCAACCACATATTGGTATGCATTATACAAAAACATGTGTCCCGGTTGTCGATTTTGTGCTGGACGACCCAGAATGGACGCAATCTACAAAAAGTTGCATAACTAATTGATTTATTATGTTGCTTCATGAAGTTTATGTGAAAATTTTTTAGTATATCGTTTAACAGTTTTCTTATATTGGTTTTCTTATAAAATCGTTTTTATAAGAAAACTATTTTCATCAGATTCCAGAAAATCGGTTATTTGATGCCTTATATTACAGCATTTCGTCAATCTAGTGTTTTCTTTTGTTCTTTCAGAAATAAAAGCTAAAAATGCCTTTTTTAAAAAGTATTTTGCTTATATCTCTTTACAATATTTCCTGAAATGTACTTTCAAAATTTTCTTTTTTCTTTAAGCTTCGATAATTTTCTGCCAGTTAGTCTGTTAAGGCTTCACCAACTAATACCTTTCTCTTAACAGCGGTAGAAATGTTTTGCCCCTCTGTTAATGCTTGTACTCGTGTGCGTGACGACGTTTTTTTGTTTTTAGTTTGCTTTTTTATTATTCTCTTTAGCCGCAATCTGTACTTTTTTATTTTTTCACTTGCCAATTTTAATTTTAATCTACTTATTTCTTCATTTAAAGCTTTGTTATGTTTTCTTCTTCTTAATTTTCCTTGTCCCTTCCTTCCGTCATCTAGTTTTATTAATAGCTTAGTTTGAAACTCTTCTGGTGGTGCTGTAGGAGGCGGTGAGTTTTCGTTTAATTAATTTTCCAGTGTATTTGGGTCTTCTTTTTTCTTATAGCATAATTCGTGTGTTCCACTTTTTTCTTGATCAATCATTTCTCCAATTATTTTTATTTTACCTGCTTGTTTCCACTACATACGTCGCTGGATCTTGTCGCCTTGGTTCACGTAAACTTCGTATTGCCTCTTTCTGCAGTTTCTTCTGCTCTTCATGTATTATTTTGCTTTTTGACCGTGCCTTATCTTAAAAAAAAGATATATTCTAGCACATTTAAATGATTCACCTCCGTGAATTGTTAACATCACAAAGTTGAGATTCACGGAAGTGAGGAATATCTATGTTTTAGTGAAATAATTGTTATATAAAATACCTCAAGTTAATGAAATTTTAAGGATACAAACTTAAAAACTAATTTAATAATTGATTCTTAGGAAAAAAAAAGGCAAACTGTTATTTTCTTACCAAATGCTGCTGATTCACGGAAATGATACCCTAGAATGACCTCTATCCAAACACAACACTCAACAACATTTTATCTTGCTTAAAAATTAGTCTGCTGTCTTCAAAATACCACCAGACTGTCGACGATATTATTTAAACTTTTCAAAATTAGTAACGATGCGAGCTTTATTAATAAACAGCTGGACCAAAGTTATCTGACGGAGGTGAGATATAAAATCAAGAACAGCGATTTAGGTAAATAAAAAAATAACCGATAATGTCTTTAAAAAACGTCATTTATATTTCTTTATATGAATTGTTTTCCTTCATAGATGATCCAATTTTTTTTATATATTATGATTATTATTAAGATAGTCACACCAAAACACCCTTCGGTAAGATCTACGGTTCGATAAAAATAAAACACTATTTAATGCAAACTGATTTATTCTCCGACAAGCTGAGGCATGAGAAACAATACAACCCCTACAACGACTTATTACATACTAATTACAAGGATTCTTTTCAGGAATAAGTTCGATCATATTAGGCCCGACCTCAAGACATTGACTCAATGAAGGCCGGCCTTTTCCATTCGAAAACCGGTCTGATCTTTGTGGTATCGCTATTATTCTTGATTACAGGCCTATGGGGTAAATAGTGAGTTACTTTAAAGTTATCTTCGTTAGGCACTCTTTTAATGATTCCTTCATTTAGCCACTCCTGAAATATGACATTGTATGGTTCAAATAAATTGGACCATTTTAGCTTCATGACTGTACCATCCAACCTTTTATTGGCAACTGCATAACTGTCAGAAAGAGGTGGGTGTCCACTTAACCAAAGTAACCTCATCTCATATCTGTCTTCATCGTTAAGGCGTACAGTTTCGTTAAAAAAGGATTTCGCTTCTTTGGCTGTTTCCAAACGTGTCATATTTTCGGTGGGGTCCTTTATCCCGAGAATATCAAGTTCCCACAGATTTGGTACGTTAATATCGTTTACTTATAATGAAAAGACTAACATCGTCGTGCTACAAGAGGGTGAGTCTCTAGGTATTTTTCCTATCAGTGTCCAACCTAAATAAGTCTCCATTGCAACCAAACCGCATTGTAATTGGTACTTCTGTCCTGTATATAATTTGCCAATAACATCAGTACCAATCAGTAGTTCAATGGGTGTAGGATCTCCAACGTCACTGAATGAAATGTTTAATTTTTGTAATTCGCCTATCCAAGGTCCATTAAATATTGGAGAAATTTCATTGCAAATTGTTGGTTGGTCTAAGGCCTCAAAAGAACAGGAATAATGACCATCATTTACCTTTATATCATAACATTCATGGCGCTGTTCTGTTGAATTTTTCCCACCAAATAAAGCATGCACTATTGTTTCCGCTCGTTTTGAAATAAAACCCATTTTCTGAGCGGTACTTTTTAAAATGTAAGTTCTCTGCGACCCCGTATCGATAAGGGCTCTAACTTGTTTGGTACCGTATGAACCCCTTATGTTTATGCGCAGAGTTTGTAAAAATACATGTTGATTAGTTAAATTTGTAAGTACCTGGTCTGTATCTCAGACGTCAGCTTTAATAGTAGTCGATGATTCTGCGTCAGTTTTATGGACGGGTAACTCGGGACACATCAAAATAATATGGGATTTACTACAAATAATATATTTTCGATGGTTACGACATCTCTTAGCAGAATGCCCTATTTTGAGAAACCGAAAACAAGCCTTTTATTAGATAATATTTTTTTCTTTTGTTCCATACTAAATTTTTGCACCCTAAAACAACTTTTATTTTCGTGCTGACCGCTACAAAAAAATGGACTTGGCAAACTCGCAATTTACCAAACCAGCGGCCGTTGCTGTGAGCGAATCGGTCATAAAAGTTTTATGTGGTTTACTCGTTCTTTTTAGTTTAAGGTGAAACTGTTTTTTGAATTGCGCTTAAACCGAATCCTTCGGTGGCTGCTGAAAACCTTCTGCTCATGCTGAACTTCATTTTGCATAAATCTCATTAACCCTTTTAACCTATTTTCTAAAGCAAATTAATCTACTGGTTCGTCGAGATTTTCCGATGGAGGTCAGAAAAACTCATAGGGTCTATGCCACAGCAGAATCATATCCTCAAGCAAACAAGATTCAATCATAGGATATAATATTGCAGCATATTTATCAGTCGTTATACCTAAAGTTTCTAGTGACCTTAACTGACTTTCAATATTATCGTATAGCATAGCAACATTAGAATAGCCGCTTAAAATTCTATTTAAAACAAGTTTTACAAGATTACGTACATACACTTCTATCTGGAGGTCTTCCCTGCCGAATCTAGACTGCAAGCACTCAATAATTTTAAGGTAATTTTCGGAAACGACAGGGAAACTCTCTACTATTTGTCTAGCCTTGCTTCCTGAAACAGTGGCTTGTCTAATATACGCAATTTTGTCATTTAAATCGATATCTGGATCATCATGCACTTTTCTAAACTGCGACCAAAAGGGCAGCCACTCTTTCAGGTCTTCATTAAATTTATTAATATTATTTGAAATTTACGATCAAACTCAAGGGGTGTCTTTCGAAATCTATCACCTACCCTTAATAAACTGTTCTCATCCATGAAAGGATCCAATGACTTTATACTTTATTTCTTTTTCATTTTGAGCAATTAATATTATTTTTATTAACGCCTGATCTAATTTTAATCTAGATAATTTACCCCTTTGTTTAGAGGTCGCATTTGACTTACAATTTTTAATAAATCTTATACATCAAGCGGTAACGCGTTGTAGTCTATTTAAACTAGAAAATCTACGTATTAATGTAAACATTTTAATTTGGTTGATCAACGCGATAGGTTTAATTTTTTTCTTTGAGAAATGTCATTAATATTGGAATTTGCCATATTTACCTTTTGAATGTAAATTTTATCCAAAAACTGTGGCCCATTCCACCACAAATTTGAATTTAACAGTTCTCGCGGATTAGCGCCTCTAGATATTATATCTGCAGGGTTTTCCTTTGATTCTACATATTTCCAATTGCGGACATCACTTATACTTGAATTTCGCTACAAAAGTTTTCCAAATATGTGGTTCTTCTGCTAACCAACATAATACAATTTGCGAATCGCACCAATCGAGGCAATGAGATTGTTTTTAAAGGTGCTGTACGTAATTTAGCACACAATAATTTAATTTTTACTCTATTATTTATATCTATCGTTCAAACATAAACACATGCTCCGCTAGCCTTTTCAGATACGTCACTAAAACCATGTAATTCAATACTCTTAATAACATTCACTGATACTTGTCTGGGAATTTTTATGTTCTGTAAATACTTTAATTGACTTTCAAATTCCGACCAAATAGTAAATATGTCAGTCGGTACTTCCTCATCCCATCCATTTTTTAATTGCCATAATCGCATCAGAATTTTTGCACCGTGTAATTATCGGACCGATTAGGCCAAGTGGATCGAATATCCTAGCTAAAATTACGCGCTTAGTTATTTGAGAAATTTTTTTAATTTGGAATCAATTATATGTTCGAGTTCATAATTTTTTACGTTCCAAAATATTCGCAAAGTTTTGGAATTATCATTATCTGTTAAAAAATAATGTCCAAAATTATCTGATTCTTTTTCTGATAAACATTGTAAAACTGAATTCCATTTCCTCAAGTTAAATTCATATTGCTCAATATTTCGCTGTGCTATAATAATTGCCTCTTTATCTGTTTCACACCCAGTAATCAAATCATCTACATAAAAATCTTGCGAAATAATTTTACTTATTTAAGGAAATTCATCCTCAATGTCATCTGAAATTTATTAAGGCAACGAGTGGCCAAAAATGATGCCGGACCTGTGCCATAAGTAATTGTTTTTAATTTAAAATGTTGAATTTATTGATCAGGACTTTCGCGCCAAACTATACGTTGCAAATTTTGTTGTTTCTCAGTTACATTTATCATCCTATACATTTTTTTAATATCAGAAATTATGACCACATTATGCCATCTAACCTACATAAAATTGAAAAAATGTCATCCTGAATGCAAGGCCCTACTTTTAATACGTCGTTCAGTGCAAGACCGACATATGGCTTTGTGGTACTGCTAGCTTCATTTGAAACCCCGTGATGTAGCAAATAATTTTTTCACTATTATTATTATTATTATTATTATTATTATTATTATTATTATTATTATTATTATTATTATTATTATTATTATTATTATTATTATTATTATTATTATTATTATTATTATTATTATTATTATTATTATTATGTAACTTAATATCTTTATTTGATAATTTTTCATATGACCCATGTCTGAATATTCCCTCATAAATTTACAATATTTTCCTTTAATATAAGATTTTTTTGAAAATTTCCACTCCACTGAAATCAGCTGCCTTTCGGCAATTCCTAATGAGTCTCCCAATTCTAAAATATTTTCCCATGTTGGTAAAGTTACCACAAATTTACCGACTGCATCATGAGTAATTATTTTAAAAAATGATTTTCACGTTCCAATTCTCCCTTGGAAAGGAATTTTTTAGGTTAATTTTCTTCAATTTTCCAGAACTTCTCAATATCATTTAATTCTTTAACACGTTGACGGACACATGTGAACAGGTGGAGATGATTTGTGTGACACTATTGCAACTTCACTGTATAACTGTGATTTTTTTGTCCAGTGTTTTATTTATCGTTTAGCATAAGTTTCCCTCATCAAAAAGTTATTAATATTAAAAATTTAGAGGTATTTTACAACCGACATTATGA